ACACCTTCATATTATGTTATGATGATGCAATGCAAAAAGGTTAAAAATAACAAAAAAAAGTGAGAAAATTGAATAAGTACATGTAAAATAATCGATAAGAATAAAAATATTATTCAAAGATGAATATAACACCTACTCCATCATGATATCTACCCAAATATGCTTTTATTAAAATAGCAATCCTACCCGGACATGCTTTCTACTCGAAATGATTTATTTCAGAAAATTAGTCTTAACTGCATGGTATCTAGTTCTCATGTGTTCATCAGGAAATAAATTTATTCTATGAATTTAAAGTAAAGATCAAAGGTTCAGAATCGTTCCTCCCTTGTGTACACATATTAGGGTGACTACTATCGGATAGAATTTCAGCATTACTTTTGATGAGAAAGGGTTCACTATATACATGGTTTCGGTTCTAAGGTAATAGGGGTACTCCAATTGTCCTTGTTGTTGGTGCCCCTTTAGGCTGTCGAACCCTCAATCCTCATCCATTATAGACTTAAGCGGATTAAGTTCAATTCAATGAAGCACATTTCTTATGTCTACATGGACGACTGCTAATGAAGATCATAAGGGCATGTACTTAGGAAGTGATTCACTAGCCTGTGTAGAGGGCTACTCACGAAGGCACTAGTGACTAATTCCCACTTAGCGGGACAAAGCTCATGGCATGCAAATACACGTGATGTGTGTAAGGAGAAACTCAAAAACTTTTGACAAAGAAAAAACAATACTCTTTTTCAAAAACCTTGACAAGTCTGAAAACAATGAAATTAAACGTTAATACAACTATTTACAAGAGTAAAAATGATGCATGATTATGAAAATTGAAACTAAAAGGATCGTAATTTAAATCAAGGTTCAAATTATAAATTTCCAACCACTCGGACAACGTATAAATAAGGCCTGGCTCTAAAAAACCCCAACGGAGTCACCAAGTTTTCATAATTATTTTTCATAAATAAATTAAATTTAAAAATAATTATGACTTTGTTTGAAAACTTTAGATTTTCGTTTAATTCAAAATTTTGAGTCGCCATCGACCTTTGGGTTAGGTATGTCGAATACCTAAAAATGTATTTTAATTTTGTTTTAAGAAATAGACAAAAATTGGTTTACGTTTAACAAAGATTTATTTTAAAAGGTCAGAGAGTCGATTACAAATGGGAAAGGGTAAGCACCCCACAACACCCAAAATTAGTACATTTTGATTAAAAGTTGTCTAAGTAGTGGAACTTTACATATTCAAAACCAAAATTTAAACTACGATCCTTTTATTTCAACTAAAAATGAGTGAATCTCTCTTTTTTTTTATACTTGACTCGATAAAAATGATTTCATTCACTCAAATTTATTTTAAAATGATGTTCTTTTGCTACATGAATTAACAGAAATTGAAATCCAATCATGTTGGACGTAATTTCGCTAACCCATGACGCGAGACAACATTACTTTTGATAATTTTTTTGAAAATGAATACAATGACGTGTAATGAACGACATTAAAAAGATGAGCGAAATATTCATCATGAAAAATAGATAAAACTAAACAGAAATAATAAAATAAAAATGACTAAACAATAACAAATAAATATAGACATAAAGTAAGTGAAAATGAAAATCTATATTTATTAAAATAGTTATGCAATACACAATATATCAATATATATAAATATATTTATATAATATGTATATATATAATAAAAAAGGAAAAATATTTGAAGTGAATAATAAAAAAATAAAAATATATATGCATACACATTTAATTAATATTAATAAGCAAATAATAATGTGAATATTAAATTATTCGAAATAACCTTCGGAAAAACACCCTAGATGTTTGAAGGAGATCAGTTGAATAATATTAGATCTAACGAATATGAAAACATTAAAAGGCATTTTGCTAAAAAAATTATATATGTAATATGCGTAAAACATAAAGCATGACTACTATGTACATATATAATATATTACTATTTAAAAAAGGTAACATATGATATATACGTATAATTTAGTACAAAAAAAATACAATGATCTATTACATACTTAGATGTTACAACGTTAGGCAATAAGCAATGTATACATACACATACAAAATAATGGAGTATATAACATGGTGACCAAAATGAAATTCATGCAAGATAATAGCCTAGAGTAAAAATAAAATACAAAAATTAAACAATAAAACTAAAATAAGACCAAAGTAAAATAATCACAAATTAGAATGACTAATTTAACGAGATCCAGAAAATTAAAACCTTGAAATTAAACATAGACAGTGGATAAATTGAATTAAAAGGCAAAATTTGGATCTAAAGTATAGGAAGAGTATTTATCTCTTAAAACAAGATTCAGGGACCAAAACAAATATCACATAAATATCATAACCAAAATAAAATAGCCACATAAAATGCAAACACCAATAAACATAAATTAATATATAATAATACCAAATTTAATGGCCACGATTAGTAATTTACCCAAATTATAATAGCTAAACGCCTAGGGACTAAAATGTAAATAAATGAAATTTAAAGATCAACAACAACAACAAAACCCTATTCCCATATGCAATGGGGTAAGGGGAGGTAGGATAGTAGGCTGTCCCCCAACGCCAGGTTGAGAGCAGCTTCCGTGGAAGACCTCCGGCAGAAAAAAAAATTAAAAATAAAGATAAAATATAATGCATGTTTAAATAAATAAATAAAATACGTATGTGAACAAAATAGGGATTGCTAAAATTGCGACTAACCCAAGTGCCGAAACTCTGAAAACCCTAGTCCTAAACGGCGTTGTTTTGGGTATAATATAATTACTCATTTATAACTTTTATGAAACTCTAGTTCTCATATTTTCTTCTCCCCGCCGTTTCTTCCCTCTTTTCTCTTCCTCTTTCTTTTTTGTTGTGCATTTTCTCTATTCTCTTTCCCATCTCATTTTATTTCTTTTTTTAACCACAAACCTCATTTTTACTAAAATTAAACATAAAACCTTAGATCTGAGTAAGTTATCTCGGATTTTACCTATTTTCTGATGATTCTTGGATTTTCAACGAGATTCTCAATCCAAAACAATAAGCTTTTATCTCGATTTTTCTTCTCTTTCATTTTTTCGAATGGTTTTTGTGCTTTTTCTTCGAAATCTCTTCTTTTTTTCTCTCGGTTCTTATTCTTTTTTTTTTTTATTTGAATCCTCTCCCCTTTTCTAGTGATTTTTCAGTTCTCCATTATCTTGTCTTACATGTATTTGATGGCTTTTGTGCTTGTTGAAGATAGGATATGAGTACCCTACTTTTGTGATTGACAACTCCAGATCTTGACTTGTTTGTCTTCATTTGAGAAGAAAATTATATATGAAAATTTTTAACTAATTTTTTGTCCTTTTTGCTTGATTGATGAGTGTTGATGGGCAGCTGAGGTGAAACGGCAGTGTCAGAGCGATATGGTCGAGGCGACGGCGGCAGTGGTAGAAAGTGATGGTGGCGGCAAGTGGAAATCCTAGGGTTATAAACCCTAAAACATTTGAGTTAGGATTAACTTTTTGTAATTCGGGCTTGATTGATTTTGGGCTAACAAAAAGTACAAAATAATTTTAATAATAATAATAAGTCAAACAAAAATTAGTTGTTACAATGGTCACTCGACTATTCATATGTTTAAAACTCGTTATTTTTTGTTAAAAATTGACGGTTGTTTGAGTTAAATGATAACATATTGATTGTGATATAATAAAATTTGATAATTAAATTGTTTGAATTGTATTTTATGGATCGACTCTTTGTTTATATTATGATGTAAAGCCAATGTTTGAGAACATTATGTTATCGAGCCATTGGGTGCTTAAAAGTAAAAACAATGTTAGTAGACATCATTAAAGTATGATTATCATATTTCAGTAAATACGTTAAGTTCAGCTCAAACGAATGCCAATGTTTTTAACAAAAAAAAGATAGAGTTTAGAATATACGAATAATTATGCAATGGTTTTGTAACTTTAAATAGTAGAATAACTTAATAAAATATCATCATATAGTTAAGAGACTATTTTGTATCTTTTAATACTTAGGGACTTAAAAAAATAATAACTTTAGTAATTATTTCATTACTTTTAAAATTTTAATACTAAAGTATAAATGCATTCATACTTAAGTGACAATTTCATTTAGTTTACCGTGTATAATCATCAGGTTAATAATTACACCTCTTACCATTATTGTGCCAGATTCAAACAAATCCTGAAATTTTCCCATACGTATATACTTTAATCAGCTTTAAATTCCTTAAAACAATTCGTGTTAAGCTTTGAGTAATCCCCACACGCCTACGACTATAATTTGACCTGGTCTTTGATTCAAATTTGACCTCCCACACGGCTTTAAATTGGTAATGCCAATACAAATCCTACATTAATTAAATATAATTATTTTTAAATATATATATATATATATATATATATATATCTATTGAATAATATTCAATAAAATATATTATCATCTATTGATAATAAATGTGCTATGTATGTTAAAGATATAGCAATCAATTATATCTTTAATATATATATATAATTAAATATATTTTTATTTTATGTGACAAAAAATAATATCATTTTGATAAATAATCTGAAATGGATTTATTTTAATAATTATTCTTTGAGAAGATGATATTTAAATAAATTAATTATTATCCATTCAAAAAAAAGTAATCATTACAAAAATAATGAAAATAATTAAATGGTTAATTTAAAATTTGATCAAAATAAATTAATTTAAAAAATCAATCTACTCGATTATCAAATTTAAAATAAATTGGTAAGCTTTCAAACTAATAAAATAATTCCATTCTTTAAAACTAATTAATTTAAACCAAACCAACTAATTCTGATAAGTTGCGCAATTAAAAACCCGTTGAAACAGACTAATACTCGCCTTATAAATAACTTAAAAATTTAAAGTAAAATATAAATAAAAAGAAATGCAATAAGCAGCCAAAAGCAAGGGAACAAATTTCAAAGAGCCATCTCCAGTGTTTAGCCACCATCTTAAAGAAGTTTAAATGCTAAAATTGATCTGCTGATAATTCTCATTTTCTTTCTTTTTCAATAAACAGAGACTTTGAGAGAAGAAAGATTGAAAGCCAGCTAAGGGGTTTCTTGATCTTTGAGAAAGGGATTAGTAGCAGTGTTTTTTTTTGTGTGTGTGGTTATGGAAGATGAAAAATCGACGATCGAAATGGAAAGTAGAGATATTGAGCTTTTAATCCCAGTCGCCGATTCCGTCCGTGATGATTCCTCCAAACCGTCTTCTTCCTCTTCCCCGCGTCATGCCGGTCAAGAGGTTAATGTCCTTTTATTTTAGAATTACTCTTTAAACTATTATTTGATTCGTTTGACTTGGTCTTGAGCTGTTCATGCTGCTAATTTTAAGATTGTAACCACGATTTTTTTTTAACTAATGGAGCTTAACGAGGTTTTGTTTGGTTAAATTTGTTGCTAACGGAGAGTAGTTGGATGTTTCAGATCGGGTTTTAGATTTTAATTGATAAATATTGATTCTAGAAGAGTTATGGAAACTGGATATTTTTCCTGCATTTGGGGTAGTGATCCTTTCCTTTTAGAGGTTATCATATGTATCCGCTTTGTTTTTTCAAGCTTAAAATTCCGGGGGAAGCTTGTTAAAGCTCAAAACATTGAGTATTCCATAACTTTTATAGATGCATTGAATGATTGAATCCCTCTGTTAATGCACTTGAATAAATTTTAGGTTTAGGGTAGCAGGCTTAAATTTGAAGTAACCCTTCTGCTTATGTGACTTGATGACATTATATTTCTGAGTTGATGGATTGGGAGAAGTCCTGAAGAAAATAGTTATGACTCCTAATGAAATCTGTCGAAAAAAATGTCTTCAGTTTGTTGCCTATATCAGAATTATATGCTTGTTCTTGTCTATGAACTCGTGTATTGACTGCTTACATTGCTTTTAACTATGCCTGACAAGCCTTGTTTTGTGCAGACCTTTTATAAAGTTGTTAGGAGTTGGGCTTCTAAGAAGTTCATGACAGGATGGTAAGTGCCATTCTTTCATATCCATACTCTAATTTATGGCCTCATGATGGATTTTTGTGTAACTATAATCTGTATTATATTTCCTTGTGAAAAAATTGATACGTTCCAATTTAGCTTCATGTCTTGTATCATTGATCATGGTTGAAAATGATTTCACTAATACATCAAACTTAAATGTATCCACGGTTCGAGGTAGGCTATAGTTGAGACATATCATGTCATTTTAACATGCTTAAAATTAATTGGTTGTATCATGAATAGCCAAGTAAAATCAGTGTTTCAGATAAATGTTTTTAGCTAAATAATTACCGTTGCCAACAAAAAGAATTCTCGTATGCAAAACTGTTTTTCCTTTGATGTATAAGATCCAAATTTTTAAAATTGGATTTTAAATTTGATGAAGAAAATTGGGAGCTATTAATACGATATGCTATTTATCTTCTATTAAAATTGTTGGCTGTCTTGAACTTCCTTTGCTATTTATATATGATCTTACAAAATGGGATTCTTTCCATCATGACTTTTTGACCTTTTATTATATTAATTTTAGTTTTAGTATTTGTGGTTCCAGTAGCGAATATTCATATTTATAGCATCATATCTTATAGAATTTTGATAGCCCTTTGCATTGCTGTTGTAGCAGTTGTTGATTCTTTTTTTTTGCAGCGTTATTCTGTTTCCTATAGCAGTCACGTTCTACATAACATGGTGGTTTATTCACTTTGTGGATGGCTTTTTCTCTCCAATTTATGTTCATCTTGGAATTGATATATTCGGTAAGCATCTCATTAGTTGGCAGCTAAAAACCTTTCTTTCTCCTTTCCATCTAAACATGTGAATTTCGTTCATTGTTGTCAAATCTTTTATTCCCCCTTCCCCCTTCCTCCTTGATCGTTGAATTTGTAAACATTTTTCTATCTTTCCTGAAGGTTTATGATGATGAGGATTGTAGTGTCTGCGACGTTTTAGAAATTCTAGCCAATAGAAGGGTTTATTGTGAGAGCATGGATGATATTCTGGACTGGAGGAATCTTCTTTTATTGTCAATCATCTTTAGCTCTTAGGAAATAGATTAATTCTTCTGTTATTATTCACATGAAATTTCCATAGAACCATATTTTCATGGTATGGAAACAAAGAAATACATACATTTGTTCAAGGGACTTTAGTGTAGGACGAAGTGCTTGTTTGAGATTTCACTTTTAGGTATATACTATCTTTAAAGGTTATCTTGCTGAACATGATATGTATGGCAAAACGGCTAGAATGGATTCTCCGGAAGGCCCTTGCAAATGATCTACGAGTTTAACTGATGTATCTTAATATCAGTCCATTTTTACTAATCGTGTCTCCTTCCAGAGTATCCCATCTGGTATTCTGGTTAACTAACAGGTTTCTTGATGTCTGCTTCCTTGATAGGTCTTGGATTTATAACTTCTTTAACATTCATCTTCTTGATTGGAGTATTCATGTCATCTTGGTTGGGAGCATCTGTCCTGAGCCTTGGTGAGTGGTTTATCAAGCGGATGCCATTTGTTCGACATATCTACAATGCTTCCAAGCAAATTAGTTCTGCCATATCTCCAGGTTTTTATCTTCTTCTTCCACATGAAATAAATTAACTTAGCTGGTTATGTTATTGTAATTGATTCATGTGATGATACTATATTGCTACATCACTTTTTATGATCTGTATATTTATTGTGTTTCAGATCAGAACACACAGGCCTTCAAGGAAGTAGCCATCATAAGGCATCCACGTGCTGGTGAATATGCATTTGGGTTCATCACTTCATCTCTTACTCTGCAGGTGCATACAAAGAAATCCAGCTCGGTCAAGCTCAAACTGTTAGAAGCTTAGCTTGATTGAGTTATTCTTTTATGATCGATCTTGATTCAATATAATAATCAAACTACTTCAGTTTGCTTGATTAGGCTTGTTAAGCTCATTTACTTGGTAAACGATGAGCTCAATTCGCATGCATAAAAAATTCTCATGTTTCAAACTTGACTATCTCTGCTCAAGCTTAAGTTCAAATTGAGATTTTTTTGTTGCAAATAAAAAAATAGGATACTTGAGTTCCCAACTGAAACTCAACCGAACTAGCATACAGCATCAAATATTTGACTTTTAATTATCTACTTTTCTTTTAAATAGTTAGCTCTGGAATTTGATATCTCGACTACTGTTTCACTTTCATAGCAGACTATCATATCGAGAGTGCTGTTTTTATTCTTCTGATTTTGGATGCAGAGCGAATCCGGTGAAGAAGAACTATGTTGTGTCTATGTTCCCACGAATCATCTTTACATTGGCGATATATTCCTTGTCAATACTAAGGATGTTTTCAGACCAAATCTATCAGTCCGTGAAGGAATCGGTGAGAGATTAACTTCTTTTGTTATTATATACACATGCAAAATTACTTAAACGAGGAAGGGGATTTGAATTTGCCACTTCACCTGAGGATGGTTTCTCTTGTTGTGAAGTGGTAATCTATGTTTCCGAGCTCGGGTGTGAATGTCCGATATGGATATGGATTTGGACGTTTACGTCACCACACTCATGTTTAGACCTGTGTTGGGCACGGATGCCAGATACAAGTACTTTTGTAAATTATTCATATTCTTACGTTGCAGAAATCATCGTGTCCGGAGGGATGTCCATGCCCCAGATCCTGTCAACACTTGACACACGTTCGCCTCTCGAAAGAAGTAGATCCGACAGAAGCTAAGGTTTAATGTAGCAGTTGTAGAGTTTTATCTTCTCTGATCTCAGATTCGAATCATTGGAGAACCCGCACGATGACGTGTTGGCAATACTGGATCAGATTTTAGATTTTGTTAGTTGTGTGCCTGATTCTGGTGGCACATGTAACGTTGCTTGTTCACGTAGAATGCAAAACATTTTGCTCTTCAAATGTAGTTTGGTCGAAAATACGGGCCACTTGCCTGGTAGGTGGTTTGATGTTGTATTGTGTTTCTTCTTCCAACTGTTAGAACAGCACAGTTATTATAGTAAAATTCCAAATGGGGTTCTTAAACAAGACATTTGTGTTTGTAAATTATTCCGTTCGATCAAAGAGAATTTTGAATTTGGTTCAATCATAATTATCGAATTGAGTATAAATAACTTTTTTTTTAAATGAGCCTCATTAAAAACTCCTAAGACCTATAAGGAGAAAAAAAGTGTATTAATACCTTGTTGTTGAATCACATTTTATAATTTTTTGATATAACAATTTAAGACAAATTGTTTTTGGACTTTAATTGAATTTATTCAAAGTTTTTCAAAGTTTTCAAAAATAATTCAAAGTTCATTAAAAGTGAATTTGTGCACAAAACTGATTTTCACGTATGAAGTATCGATATTGTTTATGTGGTACAGATACCCTAGGTAAGAGAAGTATTGATACTCTCTAAGTAGTACCGATACTACCAACATTGCTCAAATTTCAGAATGTAAAATGGTACCGATACCCAAAGGGGTACCGATATTACTTTAATAGTATCGATACATAGGCTTAGTATCGATAGTATGAAGTATCGATATTGTTTATGTGGTACAGATACCCTAGGTAAGAGAAGTATTGATACTCTCTAAGTAGTACCGATACTACCAACATTGCTCAAATTTCAGAATGTAAAAATGGTACCGATACCCAAAGGGGTACCGATATTACTTTACATAGTAGTATCGATACCATAGGCTTAGTATCGATATCGTCAGGCCTAGCGACTAGTAAAACTAGTTTTATTTAAAAATAAAAAAGGTAGTACCGATACTCCCTATAGGAGTACTGATACCCTATGTACTGGGCAAATTTATTTTGCAGAGAAAACATCCTCAACGGATAGAAGCGGCCACAAACTCATTCCAACATATAAATACAAGTTCAAGACACTTGAAGAAGAGTTAGAACACTTATCCAAGCAGTCAAACATAAGAGAAGAGTTTTTCACTCTTTATTTCTATTCTTTTGTAAATATTTTGTTCTTGTGAGCTTTTTTTTTGTAAACTCCCTACCTTTGAGAGGTTTTATTATTTATTTCTTTTTACCTTTTGTAAAGGGGATTAGTTATACTTTAGCCAATTGAAAAACTAGAGAGTTTGTAAAGGTTATCTCTTTGTCATTGAAAAAGAAAGAATAAATTAGTGAATTTGTTGAAAAATCCTTAGTGAGGAGATAAGGTAGTGGAGGTAGACTTATTTGAGAAGTCGAACAACTATAAATCGCTGAGCAAAATTGTCTATCTTTTCTTTCTCCTTACTTTCTAATCAATTTTTGTCATTTCACCCCCTTGTACATTTTCCTGTTGTTCAGATTGATCTTCAAAAATCCTAACAATTGGTATCAAAGCTTTACTCATTAAAAGGTTTAACAACCTTGAGACGATCCTTGAAGAAGCTCTACCGATTCCCGAAGCAATCGAGAAGATGAATTTCACCTCCGGCTCGTTCTACATGGAAGACTCCCAACCGATCAACAAGTCTCCACATTTCAATGGAGCAAACTACCATCATTGGAAGAAATTAATGAAGTTATTCATCCAATCTAACGATCTTGATGCATGGGAGATGATCGAGAACGACTACTCTTCTCCAAAGAATAAGGAGTGGAGTACTCAATAACGAAAGAAAGCTCAACAAAATGCCAAGGCCATGCACATGTTGTTTTATACCTTCGGTCTCGATATCTATGAAGAAGTTCCTTCTTGTTCGAATGCCAAGGAACTTTGGAATAAGCTCGAAGAAATCCATGGAGACAAGAAAGAAGAACCAACAAAAGGTGGTGTCTTTAATGGCTCATGAAGAGCCCAAGGTATCTTCTAACTCAAGTGAATCAAATTCTTATTCTTTTTAATGAGTTACAAGATGCATACGATGAATTATTTTTGGAGTTTGAGACCATGAACTCCACATACAATAAATGATTTCAAAATTTAAAGTTGAAAACGATTCTCTTTTGAAAGAAAAAATTGATTTTGAAAAAAAAATGAAATTTTGAAAAATGATTTAGAGCTTTTAAAAGTAAAAAGTGAAAATTTTGAAAAAGAATACCTTGATTTAAAGGTTAAGCTTGAATGCTTAACGAAAGAAAAATAAATCATTTTAAATAATTCATCTAGTTCCATAATGACAAAATGCTCACATTGTCATTATCATGGTCACAAGGAACATACTTGTCCTTTAAAGAAAAGAAAACGTTTTAAAATTAGACAAGTATGAGTTCCTAAGGAAACAAGGGGCATTGAAACTAATGTTCAAGTATCCAAAGCAATTTGGATGCCAAAATCTACTTAAATGTCTCTTGTAGGTGTGAGGGAGCAATGGTGATGAAAGTGACGATACTCAAATGCTCTAACCACACTTGAAAAAGGAATGAATAACCTCTAAGCTTAATTCTTTAATTTTTTATTATTTGATTGCTCATTTATGTTTTAAACATGCATGAGTTTTGATTTTATATAATTTTATATTTTTCATCTCATATATGTTGAAAATATGTTATGATGAACATTTTAAAGTTTTAATGATTTTTCATAATTTTTAGTTCATCATTATGAATTTTGGTCAAAATTGGTTTTAAATGCAAAAGATATCTTGCTAACAATTGCTATCAACTTTTCAAATGCTTTGATTTTACCAATTTTATTTTTTTTACCTAAATTTAAATGTTTATGCATGTGGTTTAAAATGCAAATGACATCTCTATAACAATTGATATCAAATATTTCAAATGCATAACATTTTTGGATAACTTTATGCTTATGCACTTAATTTCAACAATTGGTATTGCATAAAGTAAATTAGACTTGGATATACTTAATTTCATGTGCTACTAACATGTTTGTTAATCTTTGTTGAAATTCAATTTTTTAAGTATCAAGGTCTTAAAGTTTAATTTTTGTTTGGAATGCATTTATTGAGGGTGAGCTTTGATTTTTCAAATGATTTTTTATGTAAAATTTACCTCTTACTCTCCATTGTTATTTTTAAACTTTAAAGTTGGATTATTTTTTATATAACAAAAGGGGGAGAAGTATGGGTTTGAAAAATTCAATTTTTTTTAATGAAAAAGAGGGAGCTGAACATTTTCCAACAATTGGTATCTTTTTCATTAAATGTTTTATTAAGAGGGAGTTTTGCCAAAAACAATTTGTCAAATGTTTTGTTATATCAAAAAGGGAGAGATTGTTGAACCAAATTTTTTAATGTTTTGATATAATAATTTAAGGCAAAATGTTTTTGAACTTGAATTGAATTTATTCAAAGTTTTTCAAAGTTTTCAAAAATAATTCAAAATCCATTAAAAGTGAATTTGAGCACAAAATTGGTTTTCACGTATGAAGTACCGATATTATTCCTACAATATCGATACTATATGAACAATACTGATATTATTCATGTGGTACTGATACCTTAGGAAAGAGAAGTATCGATAGTCTCTAGGTAGTACCGATACTACCAGCATTGCTCAAATTCCAGAATGAAAAAATGGTACCGATACCCAAAGGGATACCGATACTACTTTACATAGTAGTATCGATACCATAGGCTTAGTATCGATATCATCAGGCCCAAAGGCTAGTAACAACTAGTTTTATTTAAAAATAGAAAAGGTAGTACTGATACTCCCTATAAGAGTATTGATACCCTCTTTACTGAGAAGTTTTATTTTGCAGAGAAAACATCCCCAACGGCTCCCAAATCACTCCCAACGGCTAGAAATGACCACAAACTCATTCCAACATATAAATACAAGTTCAAAACACTTGAAGAAAGGGTTAGAACACCTATCCAAGCAATCAAACACAAGAGAAAAGCTTTTCACTCTTTATTTATATTCTCTTGTAAATATTTTGTTTTTGTGAGCTTTATTTTGTAAACACCCTACTTTTGAAAGGTTTTATTGTTTACTTATTGTTACCTTTTGTAAAGGGGATTGGTTCTAGTTTATCCAATTGAAAAACTAGGGAGTTTATAAAGGTTATCTCTTTGTCCTTGAAAAGAAAGAACAAATTAGTGAATTTGTTGGAAAATCTTTAGTGAGGAGCTAAGGTAGTGGAGATAGACTTAGTTGAGAAGTCGAACCACTATAAATCGTTGTGCAAAATTGTCTATATTTTTTTCTTCTTACTCCCTAAACAATTTTTGCCATTTCACCCCCTTGTACATTTTTCGATTGTTCAGATTGAGCTTCAAAAATCCTAACATTTGTATTACCAGAAGAAAAATCATTGAATACAGTAGATGTAATAATCTCGGGACAAACTGATTCAAAATACAAGACATTTCTAGAACAGAGAACCCACTTAGTCAAAGTATCTGGCACAATATTACAAGCTCTAGGAACAAAACACACTTTGTAATTCAAATTAGCATCCAAAATTCTACGAGCTTCTCGAAGATGATAACCCAACATGGACAAGTCCTCCTCCGGTCGAGATATCTTGCTGACTACAATCGTTAAATCCGATTCAAAGGTTACATGTGTCCACCGATACTTACTTTCCAAAAAAAGTATTGCATTCAGAGCATGAATCTCCGAAAGCCCAGCTTCGACACAACCTGATGACGATGTAGCCAAGCCATCAAGTACCTGGTCAACGACATCTAAGGCAATAACCCCTACAGCCATTGTACGCCCAGTAGACTCGAAAGCATCATCCAAATTGATCTTCACTTAACCTGGAGGTGAGGTTTCCACTTCGCCTAACAATACACAAAACTC